TCTGCTAGGAGATTACCTATTTAAACACTCTGATCCTAATACTACACCAGGCAAGTAAACCCCTGGTTCCCGTACACTTAAGTGCCATCTAATGTTACAAATCTTCCAAATAGGTTCTTGTATTAACTGTGGCAATGACCAACAACAATATACAGTACAAGATATCTTTAAACTCACCCAAAACTTTCAAACTCAATAGACGATTCTGCACAAAGTAAAAAAGCAAATAAGCTAGGAAAAAGTAAGAAGCTTGATTGGTAATTGTTTTTCTTTTAAAAAAATAGAATATTTCAGAATTTATTTTAGTTAATCGGTGAGCTTCTCAAATAGTTTTTGTGATTTAGATATAGAATCTGTTTGTAATTACTATTAAATAATAATTGTAACATACTTAATAAAAAAAACGCACATCTACTTCTGAATTTAAGTAAAATCATTTTATAAAAACTATTAAATATATAAAAAATTATATACTAGTATGTAAACATACAGAATAAAAAAAAATAGATTTCTCACAAATTTAGTAATCTATTAAACAGAATCTATTTAATTCACTTTTTAATCCTCTGATCACTATATCAAAATCATGGGAAGATTATTATTACTAATACTTTGCTAGATTTTTTTTTTAAAATATAATTGTTAATAGCCTTATTTTCTTTTTTTCAACCTCATATTCAGTTTTATTCTCAATTAGAAATTAAACAATTTCAGTAAGTTTATTTTCTCCAATATTCTTTAAAGTCAATTTCACAGATTTAGCTTTGTGTTTTAACAATAACTTGACTATTTCTTGTTTTTTAAGAATTATATAAGATAGCATGCTAAAAAAAACATTATATTAAATATGTATTTCGTCAAAAGATTTTCTTATAGAATAAAACTCATAAAATATTAATATATATTGATTAAACATATCTTGTAATTTTAAATTAAAATCTTTTAATATATGTAATCGTCAATATTTTTATTTCTGCTTGTCTATTCATATGTATATTCCTGTGACAAATTCTAATAAGTAAAATATAATCTAATATGACTTTAATACCTAATACTAAATAATATAGTTTTAATATTCTATAATAAAAATTTTAAAACAAATATCAATTATGGTTTTATACAATTATCTTATATATTGTATTGGAAGCCTCTTTGTATAAGCATAAGACCCAATCTATATATAAACATTAGTACTTGTCTTTAGTGAGAATTTAATAGTAATAAGTACTATATATACCTTAGAATTACTAGATTTATTGATAAAGTTACTCTATGCGAATAATTGTTTTATTTCCTAGCACTATAATGAATAAATATCATAGATACCTATAATCACAAGTAAGCTCTAGCCATTAATCAGAAATGATATATGCGAATTTCACATTGATATTCTAATTAGTAATGAAGATAAAATATAAACTTGCAAATATTGCAATAAAATTCATAAACTACAAAAATTAAATGTTTGTCTTATTAATAAAGAATACAAATATTAATAGCTTCGTTGGAAGATATATATTAACAAATAAATATGCTACTTACTTCATTTTAAATGATCAATTATAATTCAATGATTTTTCCAAAATCAGTATTTATTAAATTGTTTAGAACTTTATTACTAAATTGAGTGTATGAACTATACTACTTTCTCTGTTTTTCATATTCTAAAAAATTATTCAATACGTCACATAGATCATAATCCAAATTATCAAGAGAATCAGCTTGGGCAATTTTTACTGCGGAAGACTCTGAATTTTCTTCAGTTTTTAAGTCAAAAATTTCTTCAATTAACAATGTTGTAGAATCATTAGATATTGTTTCTTTTAATGAAGATTCATTATTAGTGCTTGCTTAATCTTCTTTATAGGCCATGATATTGCTAACTGAAGATATATTGTATGCATCTCAGAGATCAGCCTTCATCAGTTCTTGACCAAAAAAGTTTGGCTTACGCTGAATATTAGTTATATAGTATAACTTAATTTTAGACATTTCTTCTAACTTGTTTATATTCAAACTTGTTTAATGATCACCTAAAATCTATTTTAGCATAAAAAAATTCTGCTCACAATTTGTTTAGATAGGATTTATTAAAAAAATCCTGTAGGCTAGTTTAGGTAAATGTCTAGATTAACTTCTAAAAGATCCTACCAAATTTTTGGAGTATCTGCACCCGATGCATAGGGAAGATCAAAAGGTAGTAATCTTGCTTCAAACTTTCGCATTTGTGCAATTAGTTCTTTATTTTCTGACCAGATATGTCCAAGATTTTGCCAGATTTCAAGGGCTGTAAGAGCTGCTTTGTGAAATCTGCTATCTTTTAGACCTTTTCCTAAAATTTATAAATTAAATAATTTTTTTTTAAATATGAACAAATAATTGTAGCATATTAAAATGAAATCAGATTAAAATTGAAATTTAATATTATGCAAAATAAAGCTATTGAAAAATACCAAATTTTGAGATACATTTTTTTTATCTTTTTTTTTAGAGTTAGAAATCAGTTTTAGAAATATAATTATAATAAACAAGTATAAATGAGTTTTTAAAAAGTTAAATAGAAACCACAAATTTCATTTTAATCTGATTTCACTATGATCTACAATGATAATAATAAATAATACAAGCTTGCCTTTATAGTTATATAATAAGATTATAACATGATTTTTTGATTAGTAATTTACTTAATTTAATAAAACAAATTCATTTATCCAAATTTAAAGCTTTTAATTATATCTCTATATTGTGGGTAAATATAATAAGCTAAAATATAAAGCGGGTATAAAAATTTTTCATATCTTCGATTAAAAATATGTATTGCAGGAATCTTGAAAGTATTTATTTTAGATAAACATATAATAGCTATGGTCAGCTTGATTAGATATGCAAAACAATTGGCTAATGTGGCTTTATTAGCTTCTAATGCATAGATCACCTTTTTAATAGATTGCTATACAGAATGTACTAATCGACACATGATAAAAAAATCTTCATTAGCTATTAAATTAGCTATTTCTTGATTAGTAATCGATTCTTTATACTCAGAAAGTAACTAAAAAAAAAAAAAAAAGTATTAATAATGATTCTAAATATATATATATTTTTTTAAATATATAATTAATTTATACTTATCTAATCAAATACAGGTCTTGTATGAAGTATAGAATCCGTAATAAAATATAAAGATCCTAGCGAGTTTTTACCCATGTTTTGAGACCACCACCCTTAATTTTCATATCTGTAAATCCTTTAACAAGTAGTGAATGACTTGAATAAGAGGAATTAAAAAAATGATTAATCTTTCTACAATTAACAATTAGCTTCTTTAAATTGTCTAATTTAACCAAATCAAAGGCAATAAGGTTAACCACATACGCTGTACATCTAACATTTCAGATATGTGAATACATTTCTTGTATTTTCTGATGTGCTGAATTACAATTTGAGGCTGCATCTGTTACTACAGCTGCAAACTTATCTGAGCCAAGTCTTTCAACAATATTTGATATTTCATTTGTCAAAAATTCACCTGTATAAGAATTAGAAGAGTAGTTTTTTAGACCAATTAGATATTTCTTTCAGATATCAGTTGTAATAATATAATTATAAATGGATTTTATTGTAGGTGATGCCCAGCCATCCAAGGTTTTTAAATTAAACAATATAAATTATTATATTAATATATAAATTATATATATATATATATAAGTATATAATATATAAGGTAAATACTTATACTAGCCTAAAGTTTTTTTTTTTTTTTTAATGTCAAAGTGACCTTATGGTCGGTTGTTTTATTAGTTTTATGTGCTAAGCTGATCAAAGTCAGCCACTACTCATTTGGTACATAGTTTTAGAGAGTACAACTAGCCATACATATAATTTTTGATTGTCTATTTAAGTAGTTCACCCGAAGGTTCTACACTAAATACTATATCTATAATCTGACTAAGGAATTACCTATTTAAACCCTCTGCGCTGCTATATTCTTATGAAGAACCAATACCTGCCATAGGAAGCCCTGATCTAGGGCTAATTTATTTTTGAGATAAACTTGCTAGAGCTTTCTATACCTACAATCTGGCTAACCTAGACTTTTAGTAACTTACACTAAGTCCGAAGACAAGTACTTGCGAGTCAAGACCGCTACTATTACCTACTTCTGCTCTTGTAGAGTTTACCCAAACCCCAGTATACACTTTACAGACTATCACTAGTTTTAATCCTGACAATTCCAAACTACCAATCTAGATGGTTTGAAAGGGCTGTAATCTGCTCCTGGTTCCCACAGTTTGGTCCTTTTCCTCCGGTTACTCCTCTGGCAGCCTGGTTGATAAAGTGCTTTCATCAGCAAATTTAATGAGGTAAAATATTTCGAAATAATTTACAAAACATAAAAAAAGCGTAATATTGCGTAAACTATTTCAAATTAATACGAAATATCAAAATTACGTAAACTTACGTAAGAAAATTCGAAATAATTCAAAATAAATTACGAAATATTAC